AAAATCTTGAGCAGCATCCAATTTTTCAGGAAAATCGAAGGATACAGTGTCAAATTTTCGGCAAAATAGTCCATTAGGGTATTATCATTGGCATGTTGTTGGAACTGTTTTAAGTGTCCTTTCACACAAAATTATGAGACAGATGAGTGCACATTCTCATCTCCTACCATCCGTGTTAGAGAGAGTTGTAAAGGAGCCCATCTAAAATGGCAATTACAAACATGACAACAGTAACAATTCCATTTATTCCCAAATATGAGTTTCCAGTAATCATCCAAATGATTAGCATCTCGCTAAATACTGCATTCAAAGGACTAGAAGAGTCTCATGATTATCAATAGAATTCCACCTTTCTTGATGAAAATTCTCACCATGAATCATAGCTCTCTCACAAGGTTCTCTTCCGTAATCAATGAGAGTTGAGTCTCTGGATGTCTACCAACTGGTAAAGATCACCTCGCCGTTGTTTTGCTAAAGGGAGACTTGCCCTAAATTTCATTCAAGCACTCGATTGAAATGAATAGAAAGTATCATTGAACAAACAATTCCATAAGCATGTAATATCCATAGAACAAATACTAGGAGGAAGTCATGTCACCTTCGTTGCTCAAGTATCGAATAATCAATCTCTGCTATGATTATGTTCTCCTCATGTTCAGTGGTAGCCAGAACTTCTCCAAACTGTCACATGCAAAAATTTAGAGTATGTACTTGTCTCCACAAAAGACTTAAAACCACAAGAGATTCAGAGTCTTGCTTCCCATATGTATTACTGGAGCATAACCTTATTTTGTTACTCCAAAACAGAGCTAAAAAACAAGCATTTACTTACAGGTCCAATTAGGGTTGAGTGACCCCAAGCCACGTAACCGGCTCCAGCATCTCGAGCAGGTGAACAAGTTGCAACGTACAACTATCATTCAAACTTATATTAGAAAAGAGATATGAAAGAGAAACCTTTTATGAGTAACCAGATATTCATGTTCTAGACAGTGAAGAGCTCTTAATGATCTCAAGTCTCCTGTTCTGATGAATCCACTCCACTTTCACCATCCAGTATTTAAGGCAACATCAGAGCATGAATCATAAACGAGTATTTCTTAAAGCTTAAGAAGAACAAAGA